TATATATATTAAATTTTCAACACATTTAAAAATAAAAATTCATTTGGAATTTCCCTAAATTTTCCAATTAGGGCTTTCCCTACTGGGTCCCAGATGGGGAAAACGTTACATTTCCAATAGAGAACCGGTTGGGTGTCCCATTTGGGACCCTATTTGAATTTGGGAAAACCCAATCGGGACCCAGCCGGTTCCCAAATATAAATTCTACTCGGGATCAAACCAAAGAAAAAACCTGTCCTTAGTTACAGGGTATTTCGCACATTATTAACTGTAACTTACTGAAATTACTATAAGATTACAAGGTTACTTGTAAACAAAAATCGCCTTTGAAAAATCGTGCATCAGTATGCAGATATGTAACCACACACAACGTATTAAACTCCATCAATTTAGGGTATATTAATGTTTGGCATAGTACATTTATAATCAAGCTTCGTTTCATTGATGGAAAATATGTACAAATGGCGTCTACTATGCCGTCTCTGTTGGCTGTTAACCAATAGTAGCTAATGTTGGTTGGTATTGTGTACCGAGCGGAATGGCCTAGAGGTTTAGACCGTTGCTCAGCATTCTGGAGGATGCCGGTTCGATTTCGGGTAGTTTCCTGGGATCATTTAGGCAAATGTTGGGGCAGTAATATTTCACAGATAATCTTTCATTCTGTTCTGTCTTCATTTTGTCCGTCTCATCTTTCTCACCCAAACCACCACCCACCCATTCCAACGATTCCTGAAGAGGGCCTTCTGCCCTACCTTCCGGCGTAGTCCGGAGGAACTACCCGCCCACCAGCATTAGTGCCTGGTAAGAATGAAACACCCAAAAGTTTTTTAAAGTTCTTTTGGTATTGTATCTAAACCGCCGGGCAGGAAACTGACCCTAAACGTATTGTTATTGTGTTGTTCTTTTACTCGATTGAATTTTGAGGTTATATCTTCCAAGAAAAGGCGATGTATGTAAATAAGCTAAATAAAAACCTATTCTATTAAACAAATTACATCGAAATTTTATTCGCTTCCGAAGAAGACCATTTTACTTTGTACAATATTATTCCAATTTTACGATCTTTCGAATTGATAAGAAAAGTTGTACGTATCGTTTCAAATAAAAACGAAGCCGCAATATACCGAAATTTGAATGTTCCCCAATAAATGTATATGACACGCCAAAAAACGAATACAATAGGAAGCATTTTTATGCACCCTTCAAACAGAAGGAACGTATCGGATGGCCCATAAATTTTTTATCGATCGGCAATAAGGCACCGGAAATCGACGTGGTTGTTCCTCAAGATAAACAACCAAAAGCGGAAAACGCAGCTGACTAAAAGATCAAAGCGAGGAAAATTGAAAGGGTGTGTCATTCTCGCACTGTGGGAACATTTATCCACATTTCAGGAATCATCGTCGGGAACTATGGCCATGATCAAAAAACAGATACGTATACGAAGTGATTTTTCACAGTGGTGGCACGAGAGAACTCCACAACAAAAAGAAGAAAACCGAACCTAGGCTTTGTAATTCGAACACCAACTGATGGAAAAAGTTATAACTTAAATGGATAGAGAAGTTACATGAGAATAATGTACGTGAATAGTAAAATTCTTTACTAGATCATAAAAAATGACTATTATTATTAAGATTAGTAGATAGACAGCTATCTTTGACAGCTGTCATCGTAAGCAGAGGAACTTATGATCAGGAAGCAACAGATGAAGGGGCCTTGCCGGAGCGCCCGCTGAAAGAACGGGCCGAAGCCTTGGATGACGACAATGCAGCTGTTAATGATGGCTGACGGCTAGGGGTGGTGGGGGTAAAACGGTACAGAATGGACGAAAATGAACCAT